AGACTTCATCTCAAGGGTATTGAGGAACCGTTAAGCTGGTGATCATTTAGTTGCATTTAGAAAGAGTACTTGAACCTGAAAATCATACTTGAAACCCTAAGGTAGTGGAATAAATTTAGAATGGAGAACGCTGTTGCCACTCCAAAGGTGTAGCCAGTACAACTCTGCTGTGGTGCGACAGGTTACTGCTACTTTTGAGGTCAGGGATATGAAAGCACTTTGCCCGTTGTGAGAGAGTAAATCAGTGATAATGGGACTGTGCAGTTCCTCAATATAATATATATAGCATATTGTATACTTTTCTTACATCGTTCTTTACATACTTCACCTACATACTGCCATCATCCAAGAAAACACACTCGTGAGTAAAGGAAAAATGGGTATACAGTAGTGTCTGAGCACCCCCTGCCTTGTACCGCTGGAGATACAACAAGGTCTACCCCCCAAAAAGCAAGTATTTGTAAATGTTTTTATTAGTGGGCCAACTCTTTAACAAGGAAATAACCTGTATAATGAACATATATATATATCTAACCCTGAACTTTACCCCGCATCTTTAAAATAAAAAAATGTTTTCAAAGGGTAAGGCAATTTAAGATTATATTCATGAGAGAAAATCTGTAACAAAAACAAGAATTCTATATAGGTTCAATAAAAAAATACATGAAGAAAAAATACATCAGTAGAAATGTGTTCTTAGGTATGATAACAAGACAAGTATTTTGTTTTATATGTTTGTGATTAATTAATACCTTTAAAAAGCTGAAGCTGGAAGACAACTGAAATCTACGCCACGGGGTACACAGAGTACCTATGGCTGTGCTTAAGGAAAAGTGAGTTAACCCATGAGCCAGAGTGATCCAATTTATTAAGAATTCCCCTGGTTTTAATACTGTGTCACTAAACTCTAATACTGCCTAATGAGGTTATCTGAAGTAAAACTATTTCAACAACTAAAAATCCCTAACTTAAGAAGGCTCCCTATGTGCAGTTTGCCATCTAGTGTTGTATTGTGGAAAGAAAAAAGGCTGGCACATAATTGTCGAAGAAGGCTCATCAGGTGGCAGAGGGAGAATTCACAAAAACATTCAAATTTCAGGTATCAAATTGTACCCTAAAACCCTCTGAGGTTTGTGGAGATGGGTAAGTGGGTGGGTAGGTGAATTGGCTATGTTTAAGAAATCAATTACGCCTGGAAAACAAAATGGTTCTCAATCCTAGCTACCTGATAATATCACCTGGGAAACTTTAAAAATACAGATGGCTGGAGTCAGACTCATTCAGGCAGGATCCCCAGTAGTGGCCTGTTCTACAAGCTCCCCAGGTGGCTCTAATGTGCAGGCAGGGTGAGGACATGGGAGAGGGTCAAGACTATGGACCCTAGCTTTGTCTCTACAGGAATTTCACCACTTAACTGTCACTTTCAGCAGGAAAATTGGGTTAATTAAAGAACATCTCTTTGCCTCAGTAAAATAAGGACAATAACTTCTGTTGGAGTTATTGTAAGAATTAGATACAATCATGAATATTAAGTGCTTAACAATGCAATATATTATATTATATTATATATTAAGTACACTGTGCTTAACAAATGCAATATATTATTAATAACAATATTATCAAGGAAAAGATTTCATGAGCTACTTTGAGGAATAAGCTACCAGAGGGATATGTACATATTACATATCGGAAATTTGGACACATTATATATGGCATATTTTTATTCCTCTTAAGCAGGTAGCCTTGTGGGACTGAATGCTGATACCCAGCTCCATCCAAGGGCTGGTCCCTCTTGAGAAGCACATTACTTCTTATCCAGAGCCGACCTAAAATATTTTATAACACCTTAATTTATTCTAAATCTGTCTTTGGGTTCAAAATACCCAACTCCCTAGAAAATTTCAGTTGTCCTCTTGAGTTAGACGTCTTCTCCTGAACTAACTGGGAAACAGAGCCACACCATCTGCATACCTGATGACAGTGGGCAAAGCCCTGTGTGTTAGGGACAGCTTCCAGAGAAAAGAGAATCACTGTGACTTAAGTTATCTTAAAAATCATAAAATAAGTCACTTATTATTACTGCCAATAGGTCTAGGCAGAAGAAATATAATCTGAAAAGGTGAGACGAGTCCAAGGAAGATCTAGTGGTTCAGTTTGGCTAGAATATTCAGTGGAAATGTTAGGTTGGGCCGTATGACTAAAAAATAAAAAACAACTGGCTATGACAAGTTGAATGTGAGCACTAGGGAAAGAAATCTCAAACATATCAGGTACTCATTTGGAAGAGCAAAGGAGAATTGCAAACAGGAGAGTAGCAGAAAATTTTGAGCAAAAAGAAAAGTAATTAATTTGGTTAGAATCAAGTGGAGAACAGTCAGAAGGGGGCTATAGATCAAGATTTAGGAGTCAGTAGAATGGATATAATGGTTGAAGTCCTAAGGCATGCATGACCCTCTCCAGAGTATCTTGATAATTAGAAGGTAAGCCACCAGAAGCGGCACTCTACAGAAGAGCATCATCATCAGGGGAGGAAAAGTCAACAAACGAGATGGAGAAGTAGGCAGGCAAAGAGGAAAATTTCAGAGTATGCTTTTAAAAGCAAGACAAGCAAGAGGAAAGAACAATAGAGAGGAAACAATTTGGCTTCTGTAAATTATTAAGACAGGATTGGTGACTTCAGAGGGGAAAGCCAATGAGGAGTTAGAGCTTGAGCCAGGTTGGAAGTTATCCACATTATTGTGGGTACCATTTTTTTCACTGATATACAGCATCCATGACATGATTCAACCACACTTTTAAGAAATCCATTCTGTTGTTGATAGATTTTTGGATTGTTTTCTATTTAGGACTATTATAAAATAAAGCTACTGTGGACAGATTTGTATAGGCCTTTTGGTGGATATAGGTGTTATGTGTGCATTCATGGTGGGTGAATGCTGAAGAGTGAAGTTGCTGAGTTCTAGGGCAAGTATATGATTAGCTTTAGTAGATACTACCAGAGCTTCCCATAGTTACACCCATGTACACCCCTGTCATAGTGGATGAAAAGGCAAGGTGCTTCACATGCTTACCAACCTTTGGTATTTTTCGGGTTAGTCAGTTAATGTTGCTGCTATGTGTTACTTTAGCCATTCTGGCGTATGTAGTGGCATAAAATTATTGTTTTAATTTGCATTTCTTAGATGACTAAGGATATTGAACATATTTTAGATTTGCTTATTGTATGAATATATTATTTTTTGGAGTATGTAATCAAGCTATTTGGCTATTTTATAACTGGATTACCTTTCCTTTTTCTACATAGGAGTTATTTATATCCTCGATATGTCAGCATGAAAGGAAATAAATATTTAACACAAAGAATGGAGACGATGCAAATCAATGCTTACCACAAGGAAATTAGAAAACTCCAAAAATAAAGAGAACATCCTAAAATCTTTGAGAAAAGAGTACAATTAATGGATGAATTCTCATCAGCAAAACTGAAAGCTGAGAGAGTAAAGCACTGCTTTAAAAATTCTGAGGAAATATTGTGTTTCTTAGAATTCTAGATCTGGTCAAACAATCAATGAAGTAAGAAGGAACAGAAATTTTCTGACATGGAAGATCACAAAAGTTTACCTCCCAAGTACCTTTCACAGAAAGCACCTGGAAGTCAGGCTGACCAAAATAAGCCAAGAATCATCCAGGACACAGAAGATTCAACATAAGCCAAGGCAAACCCCAAAGGATTATGCAGCACACCTGGCCAGCAACCGATTCAGACAGAAAAAAAGGAAAGAGTCCCAAAAGATCTATCTACAGAGAGAAAAGAAAAGAGTTCTACTAGAACAGAATACCTGAGAATGGTGAACAAATCCTATGGGAAATGTGTTAATTTCAGAAAGAACAAAAAGTTGCACAGGAAAGAAACTGTGAATACAATTTTAGCAAAAAAATGTATATATCACTATAACAGGACAGAGAGGAGAAAAAGGTAACTCATAGGATCAACTTTTATAACGATGCAAGTTTGCAAAGAATGAGCAAAGTCAATAAATAAAGACATATTAGAACATACCTATCCTTTTTAAAATGGAGGCAAATAGAAACAACTTTTAGGAGTTTGGGACATGGACACAGCATTGGGATAGAATGGGACAGGAAAATGCTGCTTTTCATTAGCTTTGAGTTATTATTTTAAATGTTAAATTATGTATATATATTAATTAGATAATAATAAAAAGTACATAGTTTTTCTAAATGAGCCAGGGTAAAGATAAAGTCTTGAGGCAAAAGAAGACACTGAAATAATTATTTTTTTCTTTCTTTAAACATATCTTAGGCTCTAAAGTAGATAATGAAATTAAGGACAATTGAGTCATAATTATACATCACAGGCAAACTACAGATTCACATTGTAAACCAATGATAGGAATAACTACTAATTCATAATGAAGGCCCAAATGCTTCACAATTAAGTATATGAGAAAATGAGAGCAGTTTTGTTTAAAAGGGAGGAGGGGTGTTTCAGTGTACATATTTTATTTTTCTCTCTGTATGTTTACACATACAGAAAGATAATATATTCTACCTATAACAAATACAGGTTAAATCTAAGGAGTCCGTCCTGTTACTTAAAACTTACAAATATTGTTGAATAAATCTTGCTGGTCATCCTTGTTCATTATCTAAAGAAATTTCAGTCATAAAGCATCCGATTGCATTTATTTTTATGTTTTACATATCTTTTAGTAGAGATGTAGTCTCACTACAATGCCCAGGCTGGTCTTGATTCCTGACCTCAAGTAATCTTCCCACCTCAGCCTCCCAAGGTGCTGGGGTTACACGTATGAGCCACTGTACCCAACTAAATTTAGAATAATAAAATGTAAAAGCTACCTACAGGAAAAAAAAGTTTAAGTTTTTAGAAGAGTTGAAAAAAAACTATAGGAAAAAAAAAAATTTCAATTACAACTTCAAGCTTAAATATTTGTGACTCAACAAAAAATGACTAAAAGTAGTTTAAACTATAAACTTTAATAATGTAAATATCAATTACACTTTTTATTTAAAATTTTATTCAGGATCGTTTTCTTAATTAAAATAATTTAATTGCAAAAACAACCGTTCTTAGAATACAGTATCAGATGTTTTAAGTGCATGTGTTCAGCCATACAAATACAGTAATTATAGTATCCAAATTCTATAAGTTAATTTAATATATTAGATGCACACAACAATAAAATAACTCCCTACCTTGAAAACATTATAGAAGCACTCTTCATTTTATCAAATACAAGGCTCATACAAACCTATAATAAAACTCAGTAGTCTGTTCATGTGCTAAGGGACAAGACTAAAATAATAAATTAATCCTTTAAAAATGCCTATGAACCAGTAAAATTTTCTTTTTAAGTTGGATAGGCCAAAGACTGTGCAGGAGTATTTAAAGGCTGAATAGAATCCAGCAGCAATGAAAATAAATACCGAGTTTGGGAAAAAACTAAACAGTTCAATATTAACAACACAGTACATGAGCCAGCACACCACATCAGTCTAAACATCCTCAAAATGTGAATACTGAATTCAGTAAAAATGTTAGACTGTTTCTAATTATGTCAGATACCTGAGTAGAGTGCTTTCTGGTAAGATTATTCTCTATTACACAGGGACTTAAAGGAAATCCAAACTTATACTGTAACAAAGTGCTTTGGAAAATACATTCATTGCAGAAATGACTACAATAAGCAACACTACACTATCTGGTAGTATGGTAATGTGAAATGGTATGGTAATGTGAAATATAAAAAAGATACCTAGAAAACGTTTACTTCGAATCCTGAAGCAAAAATACAGAATGGTGAGCTCATTACTTTATCAGTTGTAACTAGGATTTGCTGCCTTCAAAATATTCATTCTTACAATTTTTGTTCTTGAATTGCCTACTATTTGACAAGTAATGTGTCAGGTGCTATGTAGGCATTGAAGAATAAAAAAATTAAGGTTCTCCGAAAAGAAAGAAACCTTAGTCTAGGAAGTACTAGGTATATCCTTACAAATTTAATTAAATATGGCTTTTGAAACTAAAAAGAAATTTTTTTCCTAAACAGGTAATAACCTAGGTGACACTCTATGTATTTACATAGTAAGTCATAATGTCCAAGGAATACAGATACTTAGAAATTCAAGATTGCTAATTGACTCTTTCAGTTGATATCTCATGAACAGTGTACTTCCTGTGTAATTTTCCTAAGTACATTCTTACACGCAAATTTTTAAAGATAATTAAGCAAACATTATATCTATTCTTGCAAACTGAGTCTTAGTAAACTATGGAACGAGTTCCAATTTTTTATCTGGGCAAAGACAATTTAAACCAAGCATATCATACACCTGAAACAGATATCCATTAGTAAGTCAGCGAATTCAGGTCAAAGCAACTGTGATTGAATATGAGGCTGTTGTAATTAATCTTCATCGTCTCGTTGCAAAGGTAGTACCTGGATTTCTTTGGCTATTCTTTCTGCTAATGCTCTACTACTTGCAGCAATTACTCTTCGTGACATCAAATCAAATGGTCCACCTAAAAGCAAATCAAGTATGGAAAATAATCATATCTAGTACAAAAATAATTCATATAAAACTATTACAGAAATATATACTATGGTTAATTATAACATTTTAATACTTTGTTTTCTTTAAAATAATCTATTCTGTCACATAATTACAATGGTTAAGCTTTGGTAGTACACAACTAAGTTTTTAAGCATATTTTTTTAGTAAACACCAGTTGCCGGGCTAAAGGGAGGTTTTAAAGTCATACCATCCTGAAAAATGTCGTCTTTTCTCTTTCTTTTGCTTCTTTTGTGCACTCTTATTACCTCTTTATTGTTTGAGAATCTCTGGACAGAAAATTTATCTGCAATGCTTTTTTATACCACTGTCCTTCCCACTTCCTATTTCTTTGTTCCCTTTCTCCCAGATCACTGGTGAATTCTGTGAACCCAGGTTCACCCTTCACATTACAAATTTCACCATAAGATCAAAGCAAATACTTAAACTCCCTCAGTCCAAGGCAGAGAATGATGGTGGAGGAAGCCCATCATCAACTATCACCACAGTCACCACGAAAGAGCTCTGGGTACAAGCCACAGCTCAGTGACTGTCAGACTTTCTCTACAGCCCCTCAGGAGATTGTTATCACATTTGAAAAGGTGAAGTCATTTATCATCATCAGTTCCACATGACCACTAGCTCTTGTCCTTGCTTCTATCTCCTACTGTTTATTTTTATTTTATACAAAATTACAGTTTGTTTCTGCTTTAAAAGTTTAACACACATAAAACTTTTTTCAAAACTCTATATATGGAGAAAGTTTCAACAGATGTGGAGAGAAAAATGCCCACTGTCCCAAAATTTTACCTGTGACATCCATTAGCACTCCACCAGCTTCAGTAACAATAATACCAGCTCCTGCAACATCCCAACAGTGAATTCCCATTTCATAGTACGCATCTGCTCCTCCAGTTGCCACAAGGCACATATTAACAGCTGCTGTTCCAACACCCCGGATCCTAACAGATAACATTTAGAAATAAGATCGGAAAAATAATCCTTTCAAATAAGGTACTCCTAAACTTCAGTTTAGTGTTGGTTGAGATAACTTAAACCCATCTAGAGGGTAAATGTCAAAAAAAGGTGGTATGTAACTTTAATTAAAAATACAGGCGGAGTGCAAATCACAACACATAAGGGAAGCCAAGGCAAGAATTGCTTGAGCCCAGCAACATAGCAAGACTTTGCGTCTACAAAAAAATCAAAAAATTAGTTGGGCGTGGTGGCATGTGCCTATTGTCCCAGCTACTTGGGAGGCTGAGATGGAAGGATTGCCTGAGTCCAGGAGTTAGAGGCTGTGGTGAGCTGTGATCACGCCACTGCACTCCAGCCTGGGCAATAAGAGTGACATCCTGACTAAAAAAACAAAAGCAAAAAAAAAATCTAAAAACTTACACAAAAAGTAATTATGATGTACTATATAAATAAAAAAAACCTAACCCTCACACCACACAAAACAATCACATAAGATAAACATTAAAACAATAAATTTTCAGGAAAAAACATGGAGTAAAATGCTACACTATAATGAAATGCAAGTATATTCATATTTGTCTAAACACAGGCACTATGGCTTATATTTTATATACATACATACATATACACCCTGCAATGCAAATTGTCTCTAGAAGGCAAAAATTATGGTATTGATCAGTGCCAACTGGGTGTGCATCATGCAGGAGTGCCTAAAGCATTAACAGTAGGCCTGGGCTCAACATAGACCTATGCATGCCATGGAAGACTATTTCAGGTTGGCCTTCTCATAGCACTGCTGACTTGAAATTACACCAAGTTTTGATGAATATGGATACTATTTGCAGCAATTATAGAGCTAGAACTGACTCAGAGAATCACCAATAAATGCTAAAATTAGAGGATGAAAGTTAAACGTTTACATAATGTCAAAGTATCTCTTCACAAGATGCATAGTAAGTACAGTGATAATAACAGCATCTCTACAATGTTCTACCGTTACCAAGTGATCAAAATTAATATCAACCATAATGGGACAAACAGATACGATGCACTGATAAGGACAGAACATTATTTCATTCCTGTCAAAAATGCATAATCCAAACATAATCATGAAGAAACCAGACAAACCCAAATCAAGAGACATACTACAAAATAGTTGGCCTACACCATTGAAAAATGTCAAGGTCATAAAAGACAAAGAAAGACTAAGCAACTGCTCTTGATTAAAGAAAACTGATGAGAAATAAAAACTAAATGGAATGCACAATCCCAGAATGGATCTTGGATTAAAATTTTTAAATCTCTATATTGGTTATGTATCAATGTTAACATCCTTACTGTGATTGTGTTAGATTATTTTTTTATTAAAGAAATACACAATGGAATGTATATTTAAAAGAAAAAGATCATGTCTGCAAGTTACTTTCAAGTGGTTTTTACTCACTGCTTTTTTAACTGTTTAAACCTCTGGAAATAAGGCAGTAAGTTTGGTTAAACAAGATCCTTTAATGTTTTTTTAAAAAAATAGTAAGAGATTAATGACTAATGCAATATTTGTTTTATTACTAAAATATAAAAATAAAAAAATATTGCTCCTAAGTACTTATTATGCCAAAGCACTCTCTTTAAAAAGAATTGGAATAACATAGCATCTTTGATTTGAAATGTTTGCCTCTCTGTGCTTTTGCTGCACATCAAATTTAATAAAGAACTAGCAAGTGCAATAAATTGCCAAGGATGTTTGTTTCCTAAATAAAAAAAAGTCAAGTTAACTTTAGTGGTTTTTTAGTTTACTAAGAAAGGTGTGTTTTCCCCCTTTTTTCACGGAATATGTGATAGTTCATCTCACATTATAGAAAGCAAATGCTAAGAACTTTCATGAGTAATCCTTTGGTATTCTACTTAGAGATTCAAGCCTAGGGTAGCAGAACAACGATACCTACTAGTGATGCTTCTGCTACTTCTAATGAACATCATGGGCTCTCAGACAAGAGGTCTTGTATTCAGCAAAAGCATATTATTTTATAGACAAATATTACCAAAAGATGACTAAAAAGATTACTTAATTACCAAGTAATTAAGGCTATGGTCTCGATTCTGCACCCTGTGTTCTGAATCCTATCTTAGTCTGATCCTCCTACATAGCTAATATAGTATAGAGTAAAAAGGACTATTTTAGTGTCACAAAGATTTGAATTTGTTTCCATGCTCAGTTGCTTAAAAACTGTAATCATGGCTCAGTGGCCCACACCTATATTCCCAACACTTTGGAAACTGGGATGTGATGATTACTTGAGCCCAGGAGTCCCAGATCAGCCTAGGCAACATAGCAAGACCTCGTCTCTACAGAAAAAAAAAAAAAAATCAAAAATTTAGCCAGGCATGGTGGCATGCACCTGTAGTCTCAGCTGCTCAGGAGGCTAAAATGGAAGGATCTCCTGAGCCCAGGAGGTCAAGGCAGCAATGAGCCATGATTGTGTCACTGCACTCCAGCCTGGGCAACAGAGTGAGACTTCAACTCAAAAACAAAAAACAAAACCTCATAATCTTGACAAAGTTTCTTCTGTGAGTTTTACCTTTCTTTTCATCAAATGAGGATATCAGTTTATCTTTGATCACTACCATAATGAGGACAAATATGTGTAAAGCACCTAGCAGAGTGTCTAGTATATAAAAGCTCCTTTTAAAAGCAGATATATTTATGATTAAACTAATCTCTAAAACACAATTCCGGAAAATGCCAACTAATGGACATAAGTGCATATCTAAATGGATTCCCAAAAAATTAAACAAAGGAAATCAATCCACAAAAATTTACTCTGCCTCATAATTGTTGTTTCCTAGTTAGGAACTTATTACTCTGTTTCTATCTGTTTAAGCTATTCATTCTGATTATGACTTTGGTTTCATTTTGTTTTATCTATGCAATTCTGAACTGACACTGAAAAACTGATGTGTCGCCTAAACAGAAAGGATCCCCAAAGAAATCAGTTAAGTCAGCATGTCCCTTGGGAAATATTTTCCTGATTATCCTTTTGAAAAATTCCTGAAGTAAAAATTAACTTTTACTTCAGTCAATGGCAAAATTAAAGGTTAAAGTTGTAAACCATTTTCAGTTCTTTTATGACTAACATAACCATTTTACTGCCCAGGGTAAAAGTCCTTGCTTCAAGGCAGTCCACTGTAGCAACAGGTTTATTGCTCTTCTCTCCAGGATACCTTTCTGAGAGGTTCTATAGCTACTTGATAGTGACTCCCTCTTTTACTTTACTCATTACTATATAGACCACAAATTTATAGCCCATAATTAGTTTATACAATTGTCAAACTATACTTTGAATGTCCTGACTTCTAAAAGAAAAGTCTAATATCAGAGAAAGAGAAATGATCTGGAAGTTGGGTTTCTAGTCATGTCTGTATCTAGCTGTGTGATCTCAGGCAGCTGTGTCACCTCTCTGAACCACAGTCAACTCATCTGGATTATCAGATGACTTTTGATTACTTCTAAGAGTCTTATAACTCAGTGGTGATATTTTCAGAAGGAGAAGAAAGTAGGAACAGTAGGCAGTGAAATAAAATAATTTATGTTATTAATTCAAAATCAACAGATTTTGTTGAATAATAAACTGTTATTACTTTTTCATACAAACAAGTATAAATGTCAGAGCAACGCTATTTAATATAGTGTTAACTATATTAAACTTAAGAATCTGAAATCTCTAGCTTTTCTTGAAAATTTAAGTATAAAAGTAAAATAAGTATTTGCTTTTAATTTCTTCACTTATAAAAATATCATTATAGAAGAACTCTGAGGTTTAGAGAATGATAGCGGCATGTTGATATTGAAATTCCCAGATACTCTCCTGATAAAAATAAAATTAAGTCAACAAGGAGGACAAATCAAACCCACAGGACCCAATCCTTCAGCATTTCTAGGAAGCAGAAAACACAAACTTTCAAGCTACCTGTAAGTAGAAGGAAAAACAAACAAACAAACAAACAAATGAATTCTAACAGAGCACTGCAAGCCTGTGGAAACTGAGAGTGGGGAAGAGAAGACAGAGAAGACTGTGAAGAACAGAGGATCCACAGGGAACACAGACAAAACCACCCTCAGAAAGAACAATGAGACAATAAATACAAAAACACTGAACACAGATCAGCACTTAGTATTCACAGTCCTGGCTACAGGGAAGGGGCTGGAAAATATGAATAACCTAACCAGGCAGTCTCAGGAATACTGTTATTCCAGAGGAGAATCATATCAGATAAAAGAGGTGGTACCTCTTAGAGATAAGTGAAGGAAAAGTTGTAACAAAGAGTGAAAAAGTAAGGATTCTGCATAAATGAATGAGAAATAAAACAAGTCAACTCTGTCTATAACCACCACTTAACAGATACTCATAAAAGATTGTACAGAGGGCAGAACTGACAAAATAAGGAGCTCTGGGGCAATCCCCTCAGGTCCTTACCCACTGTGGGAACTTTTCTGCCTCCTCAATAAATTGTGCTTTCAATTAAAAAAAAGAAAAAAAAAAAGGAGCTCTGACACCAGGAACCCTATTGATCAGAATTTCAATAGAAATAAAAAATAGTAGATGATATTCACACAAAATGACTGTAACACATTTGACATTACTAATAAAAATGTTTTTTCATTCTTTGCTGTAAATCTCCCCCTAAAACCAACAATAAAATAGAATAAAATGAAACATAAATCTGAGTTAAATATCCTCAAACAAATACTTGTAAATATAGGGAGAAAATACTAAGTCAGAAATACAGAAACTAAGAGCAGAAATAGACCTAAAAATAAATAATAATAATAATAAGTAGGGGGGAAACCCAAAAACTGTATCAGCAATTGAAAATAATTTATAAGGTGCCCCAAAAAGAACAGATTAAAAAGGAAATATAAGAAAGGGAGAAGAGAAAAAGCAACAAAAGAAAGAAGTAAAAAGGGATAGAGAGAAAGTAGCCGATACGGAAGATACAAAGGATGTGGAACATTCCTACTGGTGACTCCTAAGATGAAAATGATAAAAGTACACTAATACTTGAAACTGTACCTCAAACAAACTCTCCAGAAATAGACATAAATCTACATATTGAAATAGAAAACTGACACCGAATGAGCAATTCTAACATAGATCCTTTAAAAACCATTAGCCAAAGGAAAAAAATAAGTAAAAGGGCCTCTAGGCAAAACATGAAATAATGTAAAAACCAAAAAATCTGATTGGTATCAAAAACAATATACAAAGCAAAGCAATGGTGATATTGCATTTTCATGAAATGTATACTTTCTTTCATTAAGGATATGATATTCCTTTAAAAACCCTTGCCTAAAATTCTTGGGGAGGTGGATTTGAGAAATAGCTTCCATTTTCCTGTTTGATGGCCTTGCATTTATTAAACTTTATTACAGTGATTGCTGTCAGTATATCTTCTTTCTGTGCAGAGGACATAACCCAGACAGGTTATGAGACTCCTTTCTTTTTGCCTATTTCTCTTTTTTGGAATGGGGATATCTGTCTTATACCTGTGCCACTATTGTATCTCTAAAGTAGATAACTTGTTTTGATTTCCAGGCTCACAAATGAGGCTCTGGTCTTTAAATTTCTGAGTAGATGGCATACTGGAACCATGAGAATGCAATGAGTATATCTGTAAAAAGATATGAATTCTGGGACCAGGAGTGGAATGTTATGGTCTGAATGTTTGTCCCCTCTAAAACTCATTCTAAAATTCATTTTTTGTTTGTTCTGAATCAAAGTCTTACTCTGTAGCCCTGGCTGGAGTGCAGTGGCATGATCATGACTACCACAGCCTTGACATGCTGGGCTCAGGCAATCCTTCTGTCTCAGTCTCCTGAGTAGCTGGGACTACAGGCGTGCATCCCCCTGCCCAGCTAATTTTTAAAAATTTATTGCAGAGACGAGGTCTCACCATGTTGTCCAGGTCTCGAACTCCTGGGCTCAGGCAATCCTTTCAGTGTGGCCTCCCAAAGTGCTGGGGTTACAGGCATGAGCCACCATGCCTGACTCATTCTGAAATTTAATCCCCAATGTGGCAGTTTTAAGAGCTGGGGCCTTTAAGAAGTGGCTGGGTCATAAGGGCTCTGCCCACATGAATGAATTAGTCCACAGATTAATAGACTAATGGGTTATCATGGGAACAGAACTGGTGGCTTTATAAGAACAGGAAGAGACCTGAGCTAGCACACTCAACCCCCCTACCACGTGATGTGATGCCCTGTGCAACCTCAGGATTCTACAGAGAGTCATTACCATCAAGGCCCTCACCAGATGCAACCCATGACCTTAGGCTTCTCAGCCTCCATAACTGTAAAAGAATACATTCCTTTTCTTTATAGATTACCCAGTTTCAGGCATTCTGTTACAAGCAACAATCAACAAGGACAACCTCTTCTTTTGAAAATTTAAGAATTTTAAGAATATAAGAGGAAATACAAATTACAGAATTTATAAAAAATAATTATAATGAAAAGAGTAAGTATTAGAATCTCTGGATCTATGAGATACATTGAAAGCAGTGATCAGATAAAAATTAACAGCCTAAATACTTTTATCAATAAATATCAAAGTAATTGAAATTAAACATATAGTCTACCTTGCAGAATTCTAAGCAAATAATTTGAAAAATTAAGGAAAGCGAGTAATTTCTTAGGCTGTGGAAATGTTCCAGATCAAAGGAGACTAAATAGACATAACTAAAACTAACGCTTAACCCAGGCTAAATACTACATGAGAGAAGGGCAAATTCTATAAAAGACAAAACGGAATATGGATGGCAGATTAAATAAAATGCATTTTATGAAATCAACAGTACCATAGTTATGGAAGAGAATGTCCCTATTTTCAAGGAATCATGATGTATGTAATTTACTCTAAAATGGTGCCCAAAAAAATGTGTGCACACACACACACATACACAGACACACAAAGAAAAAGAGCAAGAGAAAATACGAGAGAACAATTAAGTGATAAAGCAAACAGAATATCAAAAACAGGTGAATTGGAGAAAAGGGTATACAGTTGTTCTTTGTACTATTTGATTTCTACAACTTTTTAAGTTTGAAATTATTTTAAAATAAAAAGTTTGCTAATTTACAGTACAAAATTAGAATTATGGTACTGATCTCATTTCTGTTAAAAAAAATTTCATTTCTAGAGAAAAATTTATTCCTTTAAAATGTTAAATGGTTGAGTATAGTGGTTCACTCCTGTAATCCCAGTGTTTTGGGAGATCAAGATCAAGTGTTCAAGACCAGCATGGACAACGTAGGAGACTGTTTATTAAGGAGGCTTAGGTGAGTGGATTGCCTGAGCCCGGTTCGAGACCCGCCTAGGCAACTTGGTGAGACCTCATCTCTACAATTAAAAAAAAAAAAAACAAAAAAACTAGCCGGGCATGGTAGCGCGTGCTTGTAGTTCCAGCTACTTGGAAAGCTGAGGTGGAAGGATCGCCGGAGCCCAGCAGGTCGAGGTTGTGGTGGCCGGAAGCGGCCACTACACTCCAGTCTGGGCAACAGAGTGAGACTCCAACTCAAAAAATAAAAATAAAAATAAAAATAAAAATAAATAAATAAATAAAAAATTTAAAAAACATTTTTAAAAAATGTTAAACAATCTATAACTTCAGGTGGAAAATAAAAAGAACTTACCCATGAATAGGAATGCAAAAAAGTCTTTCCATATTAGAAAGCACAATTCTTACGGTCTCTGGTGTTCTGGAAGAGCCCAACTCGGTCACCAAGAGTGATTTGGTAATATCTAAAAAGAAAGTGTTTTTAATAATCATTAAATTTTAATCGTTAGAATTCTAGAAAAAAAATGACACTTATAATTCAGAAAAAAGGGACATTTTTATCCCCTCCTAGTTTATCAAATGTTTCTTTCTATACATTTAAATATTAAAATTCTGATAAATTTATTATCCCTAAATGATCCTTTTTAAAAGTATCAAAGAGTTCAGCTTCTTAGACCATTCCCCAAAAAATACAGAACATAGCCAATTTGCCTGCATGCACGATAACTTTAGTGGGAAATGAGCAAATATCTTAAATATGAAAAAAGTAAAAGAAATTAAATTCATAGATTTGAAATAAAACAAAAGTTGAAGCCACCATGTATGGTGGCTCTTCTCTGACTTTTATCTTCTAAGCTGAGATGGCCCAGTGCTTTTCATTCCCCTCTGAGACATCATGACTGAAACTTAAGACACACTCGACACTCCCAACACTTCATCTCCTACCACTAGCTGAGGTGTTCATTAGCTGTGTTTGTTCTGACCATTTTATAGTTATTGTACTACTTCTAACGGTTACATAACTTAATTGAATATGTAAAGGGAAGAATGATTACACAAAGGGAAAGACTGTTTCTAGGAAAGCTATCAGGTTACTTCAGTTCCAAGAGGCACATTTTTTCACAGGTTAACATCTGGAAAATTAGCCGGGCTCGGTGGCTCAGCCTGTAATCCCGCGCCTTTGGTAGGCTGAGGTGAGTGGATTGTCTGAGCCCGCGGGTTCGAGACTCGCCTGGGTAGCAAGACCTCATCTCTACAATAAATCAAAAAATCAGGTGGGCGTAGTAGCGCATGCCTGTAATTCTGGCTATTTGGAAGGCTGAGGAGGAAGGATCGCCAGAACCCAGCAGGTCGAGGCTACGGTAGCCGGGAGAGGCCACTGCACTCCAGTATGGGCGACAGAGTGAGACTCCAACTCAAAAAAAAAAAAATCTGGAAAATTAGGATGTATCATCCAATCTTTGGCATCCTAGAGTTCAATAAAAAGGAAATGAACCAAAAATCTTCTCTCAAATGAAGTGGCTGATTGAAGGGAAAAGTTATGAAAGTTCACAAAGATTCTGAAGTCAGTGTACTGCAAGTATCTTGCTGCACTTAGGATCTCAAATTGCAAACTGTAGAAAATGTTGAATGTAGTTTTATGGAAGAAAGATAACTCAAAACTTCAATCAGCTTTGAGAAAAAAAAGAAGTAACTTATGCCAGCTCCTTTAAATTATCAAGTCGAGAGAAGCATTTAAAATATTAATACAATGTCCATCATATCTCACTCCCCCTTGAGCTAAATAATTACCTATTAAAGCCACTTGCTATGTAGGCTGTAGACTAACTGACCCTAAGTAGCTATAAAGTGCTATCACTCTATAGTTCAACAGTGTATATCCAATATTATTTCTGTGAATCAACAAGAATTTCAGACGAACAACTTTTGTAACATCCCCCTCTCTTGATTCGTCTTCTTACTCTGAAAAACTTGAGTTTGTCCTCTGTTCTTTGGAGCACTCACCAAGGCAACCTAGAAGTGTGTCCCAGGCTGTAGTCCTCAACCTCAGCCCAAATAAACTCTCTAAATTAGTTTTGCCTAAGCTTCTTCCTTGTAGAACAACAGCAGACAAACACGAAGACTTAAAATGCCTACCCTCCTGCTCAGAAAAAAGAAAGTTTTAGTGAATCCCAGCCTCAATGGACTTTTCTCCAACAATTTACTTTCTAGTAATTGGTCCCAATAACATCAGCTCACAGGAATTCTACAAATTTGAGATGCAGTGACTAAAACATAAACCATGCACTCCATGAGGGGAGAAAGCCAGTCTGAATCATCTTCCCCTCTCCATCTCCTAATACAGTGCTGAGCCTGAACTGTTTGTTAAATTACACTTCTTTCCCTACTTGAACTCCACATTGAAGACTGAAGTAGAAATAAAAGAAGACAGAAAATAAACACAATTTGCAAATCAGTGAACACTAAGACAACTCTGCAGATGAGCATTAAAAAACAATAAAACATGAGCACATAAAATCAATTGCACCAAACATTGGAGAATAAACCTACCTTCTTGATGTGAAACTTGTAGTTTTTGGCCATTACAAAAGGCACCTTTTCCTTTCCTGGCAGTGTACATCTTATCTTCCACACAACTGTATACAACTCCAAATTCGATCTGCAGAAGGAAAACAAGTATCTTTCACCAAACCTTAAGTTTCTTTTATCATCAGTCAATACTTCTTTCTAAGTAAGTAACAAGAAAATCTGGCATATTACTACTAATAATGGATAAAAACGGCTAAACTATGGGATACTTACCATGCCAACTTCCAGCCTAACCAGAGAAAGAGGTCATTGGATCTGAGATCCTTAACTCTTCTCCCATCCACATCCAGACTTAGGTAAGGGCACCCACCATATCGCCCTTTCTCTTGCTTCAGACAAAGATAGATCTTTCTTATTTTTTTAAGGTGAGCACTTCCTTCTGCTAGGATTTCTACCCTTTAATGTATACTCTGAAAACCGGCTCCATATACTGATCCCTCTTCTCTTAGATGTTTCTTCTCACTCCTTCTCCCCAAGTTTCTCCCTCCCTGGCAAAACCTTCTGAATATTCTCTCCTTTCCTTTTCACTGCCAGAGAAATCTACACTTTGTATCTCATATTCTCCTTTTAATACATTAAACTGCCCACAAAGAACTTCAGTGAACTCTTCCTGACCAAATGCCTTCAACTGGAGACTGTTGGATATCATCAATACTTCAATACCTAATTGAAGCACATGGTTCCCCCATGTTTCCAGCATTACTCTCTTTGTTTTACCTCGTTCACGAATCCATCCCAGTGTCATGATTTTAGAACTTTTTTCTCTGCTTCACCATGAAGTCGTGTTCCTTAGGCCTTTTTCCCTTCTTCCATTGCTTCCATGTCCCTTTTAGCTCTACATATTCCTACAGGTTGGTCCTTTCCAGTCTACAAATTTAAATATTACCTTTAAATTTGGCTCCCATCAATCCTATCATCACAGATAAGAACCTATGCTTTGGAACCTAGTCTTGCAGAAACCTGGATCAAAAAAGTCAAAATAACTCATTGCCACATCATCTCTCATTCCTTTCCCACAAATTTCAGCCTTCAAATTTTATCTTAAAAGCGCTTTCCAATGTTGGCATTGCTTTGGCTATGCTCACTGCCGCATCTTAGTTAAGAGTGACTCACTCCCTAGTATAATCTCTACATTGCTGAATTTATCTATTGCTTTCCACTTAAAAAATTCTACTGGTTTCCTACTACCTAGAATCAAAAACTAAATGTTTTCGCATGGACAGGTCACAGTGCCTCACAGCAAGGCCACAACTAACTCATCTCTCCAACCTCTGCCCTGTCTACTTATAGTGTTTCCCCTCCATGAACATCTCACCATTCCTCCTACACACCATGCTCTTCACCTTCTCCAAACTGTGCTTTCTGATTACATTGCTTTCCTCTTCTTTTTTATCTGGCAAATCTCTAATTTCCTAAGGGCCTACTCAGATGACCAACTTCTAAGACGTCTTCTGTTATGAGATTTCTCTAACCCACTATCAGCAGAATTGGTTACATCCTGTGTTCTCAGTTTTTTTCTTTTTCATGGTTCCACCAAGTAATATCCTCATCTGTTCACACACCTAACTGTGCTGAATTGTGGGTTCAATGGCAGGGACAGCACATAGCCCAGGACTGATCATACACTAATAAACACCCACATAGCTCCCTGTGGATGTTCTCACTGATTAATACAACCCTATGGTTAAGCTTTCATTTGTACTATTTTGTGTTTTCATTTTTGGAAATTTCTTAACTGTTTTGTGTACATGTTGATCAAACATATCAATAGTTCCTTGAAGGCAGGTATGTAAGATATAGCAAACATCTTTCACTGTTTGACCAACCAAATAAACAAACAAAAAATGCAGTAGCTACAAATTTTATTCTACTGCTTTAGACATAAGGATTCAGTTATGCATAGATTCCTAAATATAGTCTGCGGTTTACAACCATACTTTAGGCCCTGCTACTTGCTAGTGTCTGAGAGCCTCCCTTCATTGACGTGTACTTAAGCATTCACAGCTCACATCCCACCTCTTCCATGAAGCATTTTAGATTACACATCATATGGTGTCAACTTCATTTTAAAAAGCAAAGATAGAGCACATATCAACTCCTAACACACCTGACTCTATCAAATATATAATGGTGACTAAATTCTGAATTATACTTCAGTTACTTGTAATGTATTTTCTCCTTTCAACTTCTCCTTCTCAGGAATCATTAAGTTTTCTTTCCTGGGATTGTATCATGAAAATTTTAACAGTTCAAAAGCTTACATTTAAAATATTGCAGTTATGTGAATTAAATATACAAACTGGAATTTATTATAAAGACACACTTATAGAAAATACCTTTTTAGAAAATGAGAGCAATGCATTTTATCAACTACACATTGAAAATAACATACCTTTTTATTTACAGTAAAGCCAATCGAAACAGCTACAAAAGGAAATCTTTAAGAAAAAGACAAACACAATTTACCATAATATACCTTATTTTTAATAAAATTAATAACATTTATCTTTTTATAGTGCTAACAAATTTTTTCATATAAACAGTAACAACCCTCCTCCTCCAAATTGTAAGATTCAGAACAGTGTGCATAATATACAACCCACTGTGTAGATAGGAAAGAAAAGGGGTATTATATACATATAAATCCATACATCCATAGAAGATGCTTCTATATGCATGAAATATCTCTGAAAGGAGTCACAGGAGACTGATAACAATGGTCACCTCCAGGGATGGATCCTGGGAAACTGGGGAGCAGAAGTGGAAAGAGCACTTTGCACTGCATGCCAATTTCGAATAAATAAATTTTTGTTTTTGTGTAGAGATTGGGTCTCGCTATGTTGCCCAGGCTGGTCTCAATATCCTGGGTTCAAGGGACTCTCCCACCTCAGCTTACCAATTGGCTGAGATTACAGGCACAAGCCACTGCCACTGAACTGTGTGATTTTTGTCTTTTGTTGTCAAAGCTATGAATACAGTAATTATGTAAAAATATTTTTTTAAGACATAAAAATAAATCCGAAAAAAATGGTACATTGTTGTTAAAAAAGAACATTTTCCCCACAGCCTGCACCCTTGACAGACTTAGTTATTACTGCATTGTTCAAAACAAATTGCTGTTACTTGTCCCTAGTCCAAGACCAAACCTGCAGTTTGACATATGAAAAGTAAGCTGTTTGCCCATTTCTATGACTGCATGACAGTTTGAACACACACGTTACAATTTCTGACTCACAAGAGAATCAAGTTCAAGAAAACAGGCTGGGTGTGGTAACTCATGCTTATAATTCTAGCATTTTGGGTGGGGAAATCACTTGAGCCCAGGAGTTTGAGACCATCCTGGATAACATAGTGAGACCTTGTCTCTACAAAAAAAATAAAAAAATTAGTCAGATGTGGTGACACACATCAACCAGTAGTCCCAGCCACTTGGAAGGCTCAGGCAGAAGAATCACCTGAGCTCAGGCAGTCCAAGCTGCAGTGAGCCGTGATTGTGCCACTGCACTCTAGCCTGGGCGTCAGAGAGACACTGACTCAAAAAGAAAAAAAAATCAAGAAAATAGACAAAGCAGGTTCAACATAAGTACTGAAAATAAAATCTTCACAATATATCACTAGCATCTTTCCCTTTTCATACTTAAAAGATACAACATTCACCGGGCTCAGTGGCTCAGCCTGTAATCCCAGTACTTTGGGAGGCTGAGACGAGTGGACTGCCTGAGCCCATGGGTTTGAGACCAGCTCAAGCAAACTGGCGCGATCTCATCTCTACAATAAATCAACAACAACAAAAAAAATTAGCCAGGCGTGGTAGCACATGCCTGTAGTTCTGGCTACTTGGAAGGCTGAGGCAGAAGGATCACTGGAGCCCAGCAGGTAAATGCTGGGGTGGTGGGGAGTGTGCCATTGCACTCCAGCCTGGGCAACAGAGTGAGACTGCAACTCAAAAAAAAAAGATACAACATTCTAACATGTAAGTTCTAGACCTTTGCTTCTATATGTAGTACAGATATGTATAACTCCATGGCAATTTCCAGTATGACACCTATGTGGAATAACCACAAACTAGACTACTCATTTTAGCTTTCATAGACCGTTCCATCAGGTTTTCTTATAGTGATAATATACTGAGCTATACTTACTCTGTGTCAGGCACCATTCTAAGTACTTCTCTAAATGTACTACTCATTGAGTCTCTAAAATAAACAATTCTATAAGGCAGGTGCCCCTAATATGACCATCTTATAAATTTATTAAGAACTACGACTTGTCCTAGGTCACAAATCCAATAAAAAAGCACCAGAATTCAAGTCAAAGACTGTTGATTCTAACACCTCTGCACTTTCTAACTCTGCTTTCTCTCCTGGACTGAACTCATTCTACGTTAGCAACACTCCAATAGTTACCTCATTTGTTTCTTTTTTTTTTTAGATTAGAAAATGTAGTTTATTTAGAAAGTAAATTAGAGAGAGAAAGAGGTGATTCACCTCATCAAAATAGGGGAGGGGGCCAAAGCTTAAAAAAATATGGCCTGGCCATAGCTCAAAGAGCACATGGCCACACTACAGCTTAACAAGGCACTGGCCACAATGGCCTGGCAATGGCAGTGATGGTCTGGCAATGGCCTTCATTTGTTTCTTTGTTGATCTCAAAGCAGCAATACCATCTGTATCCATTTTTATATGGTTTCAATAATGAGAAAAAGAATGGTGAGTGAGGCTCGGTGGCTCAGTCTGTAATCCCGCGGTTTGGGAGGCTGAGGTGAGTGGATTGCCTGAGCCTGTGGGTTCGAGACCTGCCTGGGCAACTTGGCAAGCCCTCATCTCTACAATTAATCAAAAAAATTAGCCAGGCATGGTAGTGCATGGGAGCGGCCACTGCACTTCAGTCTGGGCAACAGAGTGAGACTCCAACTCAAAAAAAAAAAAAAAAAAAGGAATGGTGAACAAGGCAATTTATGACACAAGATAAGATCATGCCATTAATATTTCTTGATCTCCTGCATATGTGATGAGAAGTCTCCATAATACATTTTGCTCTACAATTACACTTTATATACACTTTCAGTAATAAATAAGCATAAACAAATAATGTAAGTTTCTAAAATGCATATGTCCATTAACAGAGTACTAAAAAAATCTATACAGGTACCATACAAAGAGTCATTATATTAAAAAATTAGAAACATACCTATGTACAAAGTTAGTTGTTCCATCAATAGGGTCAATGATCCATGTAGCGTTGTCAGTTAAGACACATTTTTCTCCCGCTGCCACAGACTCCTCACCAATGAAACTAAAAGCAAGAATCATATATTCTTGATCTTTATATTTCTTTCAACAAATTTCAAACCATAAGATTTCCTTTACTACACAGACTAGGATGGCAAACGGCATGACAAGGAAGACGTTCAGAATGACAGTGCTAACACTTTAGAAGGATGACAATGCTTCTGCTAAATTTCTGTGCCCGTAAAAGACCCTTGATTTCAGGATTTTCCCTCAAACTATCCAAAGCTAATACCACTCGACCATAATAAGCTTATAATATAGAGAATGAAACTGAATTTCTAAATCATGCCAATGGCAAATCTGTCACACTAGCTTCCTGGTATCCAAACATTCAGCTTACTATGGAGGATTCCAAGTGTTCCCTTGTCCCTGCACCCTGGCAGCTTGAACATGGCAAACAACCTAAGCTCAGAAACCACATGCTTCTGTCCAGGATTTGTTATTTTAAGTTAACGAGGTCAAGACATAAGAGTGGACAGAAAGAACTCAGACCATCAGAATCAGGAACAAGGCAACCAGTGCCATCCTCGATGGTGGCTCCTATGTCACCTACAGATGTGCCTCTTTCCTCTCACTAGCCTGAGCGGCCCAGCACCCTCTAAATCAATTCCTTTTCAGTTTAAGTTAACTCAGTTTCTGTGTCTAGAATCAAAGTATTTGCCTACCATATTGACTCCAAACTAGGTTTCATTTTATCATTTGAAATAAAAATAAGAAATACCTGTGGGATGGATACTTTTCCTTTATGGAAGACATAAGCATTTTTTCAACTTTTTGGTCAGTAGCAGTTACCAAATCAACTGGAGAACTTTTCAACATAACATTCTTTTCACTTTTAAGAGCTTCACGAACCACCTAAAAAAGATTTTTTGGTAAGCCAATGAAAAAGACATAAGTAATTTTAAATCAAACAAAAAGATAAAATACAGAAAGGGTTTTAAACATACTATGTCTTAAATGACAACCTTCAAATATATTCTTAAAAATTTCTTACAAAAATGTTTAATAACAAAGTCTTTTAATGGTTATAATCTTCTAGATACAAAATTATATAATCTTACATTCTTTTTTTTAATTTTATTTTTGAGTTGGGGTCTTACTCTGTAACCCAGATGTAAGTGCAGTGGCATGATCATACCTCACCACAGCCTCTAACACAGCCTCATCCTCAAGCCTTAGCCTTCTGAGAAGCTAGGACTACAGGTATAAGCCACCACTCAGCTAATTTTTTTATTTTTATTTTTATAAAGATGAGGTCTCATCGTATTGCCCAAGCTGGTTTCAAACTCCTGGGCTCAAGCAATCCTCCTGCCTCATCCTCCCAAAATGTGCTGTGATTACAGGTATCATCACTGCATCTCACCTGTTACACCCTATTTTAGATTCACAACTGTCATCACAAAAAGTTTAATGACATAAAATCAAAGTAGTCACCTTATTGAAAGTGTTTAGTAAAATGAAAAAAAAAATTAATCAAAATGCATGTTTTATTTAATAAAATAGCCACACATTGCCCACATCTATCACAAATGGCTGACACAATTTTAGTTCATACCTCTCCGGCTTGTCTTGCTAGGGTTACTGCATAATCCATGCATTCCTGCCATGGGTCAGCCATCTTCTGAAAATATTTAACACATGTCAGCACAAAGTAGTTAGAATTCTCTAAAAGTCTTAACTATAGTTTGTTCACAAAAGCATCTTAATTAGCAACCAACTTTCAGGATTCACCATTGTCCCATTTTAGAGTTCAATTTTTTTCCTAGAATTTACGCCTAGGCCAAATAAAAACATTTTTTTAAACCTAGATTACTTCACTTCAAATGATGAAATATTCCTATTAAAAAAATTATATAAAATTAAAAAAAAATTGACCAGGCTCAGTGGCTCAGCCTGTAATCCCAGCATTTTGGGAGGCTGAGGCAAGTGGATTGCCTGAGCCCACGGGTTCAAGACCAGCCAGGGCAACTTGGTGGGACCTCGTTTCTACAATAAAAAATTAACCAGGCATCATAGCGTGCCTGTAGTTCCAGTTACTTGGAAAGCTGAGGGCAGAAGGCTCGCTGGAGCCCAGCAGGTCAACACTGGGGTGGCCATGAGTGTACCACTGCATTCCAACCTGGGCAACGAAGTGAGACTCTAACTCAACAAACAAATAAATAAATATTATATAAAATTGTCTCCAAGTGTCTTTATAGCATATCACATTAAAAAATGAAACACGGTGGCTCAAGCCTGTAATCCCAGTATTTTGGGAGGCTGAGGTGAGGGAATTGCCTGAGCCCACAGGTTCGAGAACAGCCTGGGCAACTTGGCAAGACCTCATTTCTAGCATAAATCAAAAAAATTTGCCAGGTATGGTAGCATAGGGCCTGTAGTTTCAGCTACTTGAAAGGCTGAGGCGGAAGGATCGCTAAAGCCCAGCAGGTTGACGCGGGGGTGGCCGTGAGTGTGCCACCACACTCCAGCCTGAGCAAGAGAGACTCCAACTCAGAAAAAAAGAAAAAGAAATGAAACATCATTGTGGAGAATAAAGAAGAAATGACACAAGAAGTTATTTTAAAAGATAGGTAACTGTTTGGTGAAGAATAAAGTGAAGTTAAGAGAAAAAAAGATTAGGAGTATTAAAATAAGACAGTCTGGGCAACACTGTAGGACCTTGTCTCTGCAAAAAAATTTGAAATGAGCCAGGTGCGGTGGTGTGTGCCTGTAGTCCCAGTTACTCAGGAGGCTGAGATGGGAGAATTGTCTGAGTCCAGGAGGTGGAGGCTGTGGTGAGCCATGATCATGGCACTGCACTCTACCCAGGGACACAGAGCAACTTATAAATATTAAATAAACAAAAGATTTGGAAGAAAGGAGCAAAAGGTACATGTACTAACTGAATGCCAGGCAAGTAGGTACTGTATACATGAGATTTTTTTTGTTTTTGTTTTGAGTTGGAGTCTCACTCTGTCGCCCAGACTGGAGTGCAGTGGCCGCTCCCGGCCACCGCAGCCTCGACCTGCTGGCTCCAGCGATCCTTCCGCCTCAGCCTTCCGAGTAGCCGGAATTACAGGCATGCGCTACCATGCCCAGCTGATTTTTTTTTGATTTATTGTGGAGATGAGGTCTCGCCAAGTTGCCCAGATGGGTCTCAAACTAGGCAATCCACTCACCTTAGCCTCCCAAAGGCACGGGATTACAGGCTGAGCCACAGAGCCTGGCTTTTTTTGTTTTTTTTTAGTCAAAGTCTTACTCTAGCGCCTAAGCTGGAGTGCAGTGGCATGTTCACAGCCTCAACCTGCTGGGTTCAGGGGATCCTTCCACCTCAGACCTTCAAGTAGCTGGAACCACAGGCGTGCTCCACCATGGCCAGTTAATTTTTGGATTTATTGTAGAGCCGAGGTCTCGCCAACTTGCCCAGGCTGGTCTTGAACCACTGGGCTCAGCCAATCCTCTTGCCTCCACCCCCAAAGTGCTGGGATAACAAGCATGAACCATCATGCCCGGCTAAGATTTTCAAAAATAAGCTTGTAAACATAAAGAACATTTCTCACAGAGGTGAGAAATAATTTGCCCGAGATTATGAAGAGAGATGACACAATCCAAATTTGAACTCATTTCTAATCTTAAAGTGCAGGCCAGGTGCAATGGCACATGTCTATAATACTAGTACTTTGGTAGCCTGAGATGAGAGGATAACTTGAGGCCAGAAGTTACAGACCAGTCTAGCCAATATAGCAAGACCATGTAACTAAAAAGAATTTTTAAAAATTAGCTGGGCATGGTGGTGACACTTGCAGTCCTAGATTCTTGGGAGTCTAGGGTAGGAGGACTGCTTAAGCACAGTAGTTCAAGGTTCCAGTGAACTATAATCAAGCCACTGTCTCTACAAAGGTTTTAAAATATATAAAAAATAAATAAAATCCATTGATCTTTATGTAATATTCTTGGAAAAGAAAATTTCAGGATCCAAAAAAAAAAAAATTTAAAAAAGTACATGTATTTCTCTGAGTTTCAGAGAGGAGAAAAAAAAATCAACACATTTGTGTTCTGAACTCTGCAGCTTTTGACTCACTTCTGGAGTCTAAAATAACTCACCACTGGCCTGGCCACACTCTAAAGTCTACACCTAGCACAGTGAAGCTTTTTAAGCTGCCAGACTAAAAAAAGTGTGCCATCATTTATAAAGCAACCTTAATTATATCTCCTTTACAATTGAGAATAACTGACACAGAGGTACATATTCAAGATTATTCAGAAATCTCACATCATAGAAAAGAGAACAGGAGAGGAGGGAGGGCTAAGAACCCTGAGTTTCTACAAGTTGTTTTTTCCTCCTGATAAAAGCATTTATAAAGATGTTTAAAGAAGGCCATTTCCTGAGCCATATAAGTAACTCCTTAGAGCTCTTCAAGAATTGTTCCCACACTTTTTTTTTTCATTCTTACTCCCATTCCATTGTTTTAGTCTTAATGGAACTAGATATTCTCAAACTGCCTCTGCTTTCCTGGCAGAAACTGCTCAAGCCACTCACACCCCCACCTCCTAATTGCACTAATACAACTCCTACCAATTCTTCAAGGCCCATTTCAAAAGCTACCTGCTCTTTCTTTCTGGGATCCTCCAAGCAGAAGTCACTATTTGTTTAATTCTTCAATTCAGATGCTTGCTGTATACCTATTGTATGATATACAACACACTTGAGGAGAAAATTCAGGTCCCATTCACACTCTCTAGGGGAGAGTCAGGTAGTACACAAAAACTCACAGACTACATGCAAAATCATAAAAACAATCATAAAGGCTAAGGAGGAGCAATGCAATGAGAAGCTTCTAACAGGAGAGCTTTCACATGGACCTGGACATCAGATCTGGTTTCCCCAAGGAATTGTTTAAACCGAAATGGGGAGGACAAGTGCACGGGCACTAACTCACTCAACTGTGGGAAGCCTGGTACATGAGGAGTAACCAAAAGGCCTAAGTGGATGGGAAATGGGGGAATATGGATTGGGAGGTGGTAAGGATCGTGTCTTACAGAGCATTAGGGATAAGATTTTGATCGGAGAGGAATCACGTCCCGTGGCTACTCAACAGAATGGTCTGGAGAGTGGAGGGAAAGGCAGAGTGGATGTGGGTAGAAGTTTAGCAGATTTAGGTTTCAATGCAATCATTCAAAGGCTTTAGCTTAAACCCGGGAAGAAGGGTTTTGTTAGTGGAAAAGTTGCCTGCTTTGGAAGATAAAATTGAGGAGACTTATTAACAGATTGGATATGGGGTAAGAGGGGCTCAAGGATACCCCTATTTCCACTTTGGCAATGGATAACGGTGACATCTACTGAACAAGGGGCAAAAGGGAGCAACAGAAAAGAGTCAAGTTTGGGATATAGGTAAGAGGGTGGGAGATACAGAGTTTACTTAGTAGAGCATGAGAGGCCTCTGGGAAATGAAAAGATGTCAACAAAACAGCTGAATACTTGGATACTGAGCTCAGAAGAGAGGTATGGCTTGCAGATATAAATATATGTTATTGGAGTAGACAGCAGTGGAGGTCCTGAGTCTGGATTTCACTGGATAGGCACGATTGACAATCATGTAGAAATGTGATCCAACAGGAAAGGTGCACAGGGAGCGGGGAAACACAGCAAGGCCTATCTGTTCAGATTCATCTTGGTTCCAGGATGTACCATTCCTTCCTCCAGGGCATGTGGCAGGACCCCTTCTGAAATGGGAGTCTTATGACCTACCATGAGACAAGGTAGGTCCAAGAATTCCTATGGCCAGCTCCAAAACGGAAAGAAGGGGGAAGACTCCTTTTTCCTGGGAGGAAAAAGGATATATGAAAAGAGAGGAAGAGAAGGTCAGTGACAGAGAGAGATTCCATTTCCTGAGATCTTCAGCACTCCAACATTTTAACAAAAGACTGTAACCAGGGCTATGGCAGCTATGAGCCAGGAACTATGGATGAAGACCTAGACCTATAGGTATATCTATATCTGTATCTATATCTATACACACGTCAAATATAAATATATATATATGAATATCACAAGTACCATTCTTGATGGAAAGGGGCCAGAGTTTACTCACTCGCATTTGCCCAAAGCCACAAACACCTGAAACGTTGCCTGCCGTTTCTGTCCTGCCACAGCCTTCACGGCGGTGGGAGCCGTGCCACCTTCCTCTCTGTCTTCTGTCCCCAGCAG